GACCCGGCATTTGGCCATATTAAACCTCATGGCATACAGTGTTGACTGTAAGTAAGACTATATATATGGGCTTTTTTATATAGGAGGCCTTTTTTGCTGTGTTTACACAGAGCTTTGCCCAGTGGGATGGCAGTCAGTGACTACAGTTCCCACATATTAAAACTTTAAAAATCATGTGCAATATCCTTCATTACTGCCTCTCACCCAAATTCCCAACTAATCCTGCTCCATCAACTAACAGATGAACTTTATTACATAAATGCGCAGTGCTCTTGCTAGCTTAAGCAGGCTCACTGCTGCTAATACCAAATGCCAGGTTCTTCTCTCAAAATGGAATGATCACAACACTGAAAGACCACAGGGGAATACACTGCAGTTTGTGTTCTCATCGACATCCATCTATTTCCTTAATTTTCACACTTTTTGTTTTATTCTTTTCCATGTAAGGCAGTAGTGCTTGTTGAATGAGAATTACAAGACCTTTCACAGCACAACCCCAGATAGTAATTTCTGGATAATCAGTTCAAATACTCATTGCTCACCCTAAAGCCTAGTGGAGCTAGTTTGCCAGGCTAATACACTTCTGAAAACAGAAGCATCTGTTGTGTATTGACTCCTTCTCTATTTCTGTGTTTAGTTACTTAATTCTGTATTCATGAAGGAATCCCATCCAATGGCTAACTGGGTCTTTGAGAAATTTCTGTTTTATTTATCAAATAAAGAGAAGTGTAAATGTGAATGACCACATGCAAACTCCAAAAAAAAGACAGTCGTCAACCTGTTAAGCTCATATTACTGGTCTGAATCCGTAAAATCTCCTCTGCTATTACAGCATGTTGTCATGCTACTTGCTGTGACAGATGTTTCCCATGCAAAACAAACAGAAGCTCTCAATGCTGAAACAGAAGATATTTCTAACACACTAACAAATTAAAACAGTGCTTCCTAACCTGTTCCCAGTCTCTCTAAAGGATTCTGTCTGAGCAGCAGGGTAATCAGATCCTGGGCATCTGGAGGTGGTGCTTCGTCCTTTTCAGGCCAGTTGATTTCATCTAGCAAAACAGAAAGTTGTGTGTTATTATTGAGGTCTGATCCCAACATTCAGCAGAAACTGTGTGAAAGCTCCTGTAGTAAGCTAGCAGAAAAGCCAGAGTTAAGGCATCTTTTTACAAACTGCTCTCTGTTGCACCCCAGTTACTTCTGATTCTGATATGCTCTATACAAACTCCATAAACATAGTTACATTCCCATTTCCCTCGGAAGTATCCTTTAACCTGAAACAGTGTTTAACAACAGAATACAGGAACGCCTGGCTCATGGAAAACTACTGCAAAACATTAGCACAACTTGTATGCTGTTCCTTCTATCTGCTCCATGCCCCCCCACCCCAAGTCATGGCTTAAATTTCAGTTCTGTTCCATGGAAACTGCTCTTAAGATGGACAGAGCTGACCTGACTCAGCAGCCACTGCTCACATCTGTAATCCTTCTCTAATGGTAGCAAACTCCCTGAAGTTATTACTCCCACGACTAAGGGCCAAGGTATTGGACTCTGGAGAGATACATGCCAATGGAGCTTTTTCTTCCAAGTGCCTCATACTTCAGAGGAAAAATCACCACACATACTGACTCTTGTACTACTCAGGCTTTTGCACTTCATAGCAAGTTGGATCTAAATCATACAGAGAAGATAGTAAACCCTGCAGTATGCAGGTAAGGCTAAATAAAAATTCTGACAAACATTCACTTAAATTAAACAAGGGAAAATTGTGCCAGTTTCAATATGAACATGAACTTTATAACAGCTTACACAGCAAGTTTTGTCTGATTTTTAGCAAAAGCTGCCTCAACAAATGTAATATATTGCAAATTTAGACAAAACTGGACAGGTTTCTTGGGAGGTACAAGGATTTTGGCATCAGAGAAACAGAATGCTAGCTCAGGAAATACAGAAGGTTGTTAAGGATTTTGTTGTCATATGAACTAGACTTGTTCAAAATGACCATCATTGGAGAACTAATCAACAGAAGCTACACACAAGTTTAATCTTTGTATTTCAGACTTTAAGGAAATGTACCGAAATAAACAGGCATGAAATGTAACCTGTTTCTGATGTGTTGTTTTTAACCTCCTTTATTTTAGTAATCTAAGTTCATGCTGAGGCCTCCCACAGTTGTACAATCTGGGGGCAGGAAAGGCAAGCTACAATGAAGGAGTAAGGTAAAGTGACGGGGCAAGATTTTAAAGTATATTTTCAAGTAGAATGTAGATTTCACCCACAGCAACTGGAATAAAAGTCTAGGTTATAGATTGGGTTCTTCACAAGACTCATGAGGAGTGGCTGAGGGAGCTGGGGTTGTTTAGTCTGGAGAAAATGAAGCTAAGGAGACCTTATCGCTCTCTACAACTACCTGAAAAGAGGCTGTAGCAAGGTGGGGGTCAGTCTCTTCTCTCAGGTAAGAACTGATTGGATAGGAAGAAATGACCTCAAGTTGCACCAGGAGAGATTTAGATTGGATATCAGGAAAAATTTCTTTACTGAAAGAGTGGTCAAGCCTTCGAACAGGCTGCCCAGGGAGGTGGTGGAGTCACCATCCCTCGAGATGTTAAAAAAATGTGAAGATGAGGCACTTTGGGACACAGTTTTGTGGGCATGGTGGTGTTGGATTGACTGTTGGACTTGATGATCTTGGAGCTCTTTTCCAACCTTAATGATTCTATGATGTAACATGGCCTTTACAGTTGAATACAAGCAGACCATATCTTTTAGCACAGGTAACTTATTCAACAAGAGTTCTCCTGCAAATACTGACGGTAAGAATGGTTTCATATTTAAAATAGAAGAGAAGAAACTGACAAGTCAACATCAAAACAAAAAACTAAGCTGAACAACAGCCTTAAGAGAATGAGTGGGAATAGATCACGTTTACACGCTTCTACAGATAATTTCTGGAAGATAAATGGACACATTAAAACAGATAAAATTATTTATATAAGTATCATCTATATTGAAACACATGACAATTTGTTTTACAAAATGTAAAATTAATGTCACATGCAAAATAAAGTCTAAAGTGCAAATTTAGTCATTAACTTTAGACTATTCCCTTCCCTCCTCCCAGTCAAGAGAGCATAAACACATGTGCATGTGTCCAGAAATGCAATAAAAACATGAGTTATTTCCATGCTTGCCTGCCTACAGCTTCCACTGCAGTTTAAATCTGATTTGGAAAAAAATCATGAATATGCATCGGAGCCATGAGGCATCTAGAACAAAGACAGGATTTGCTGCTTGTGTTAATTAAACAGTTGATTCTCCTTGCCACTCAGGCCTCAGTGTATTGCACCAGAGAACAACATTGTTATAAATCTATAAACAGCTAAGATGTCGTATAAAAAGGTCACATAGTAGAGGCAACTGACAAATCCATTTCATTGCAGTTTATAAACAAGTCTGTCTTTCAATATCAGAGATGGAGGAAAGTGAGATGATGACAGCGTTGCCTTAAGTACAAAAGGGGATCTGCTGCATTTTTCGAACACTTGGAACCAGAGGTGTAGTTAGTTTTGTTTCTGTTGGGTTTTGTATGCTTGTTTTGGGTTTTTTTTGGTCTTAGCTACTGGACCTTTTAAGCAGACTACAAAACAGACTAGGAAATACTCAGTAACAGAGGTGCCATTCTGTTAAACTTTTGGCATAAATAGAGGCCTTCTATATCTACGCATCTGGGAAATTTATGAAAACAGCAGGCAGGATAGTAAACAATTCTGTTTAATTATCATTCAATTTTGCCACAAGCCACATAACAATACTTAGGGTCAGCTTGCAGGTTAAGATCTAAAAGGTTATTGAATTCTAAATGGAAGAAGAACAGCTGCTACAGAAATAACATTACACTACAACAGTCACCAATGACATCATTAACAATCTGTGAACTGAATTTGTTTCCTTCTCTTTCTCATTATTTATTATTTGGGAGACATTTGTTTTAGGGTTTTATTACATCTCTGTTAATTTCTTCATTGTGCCATGAGGCATTTTCCCATTTATGCAAATTTATTTTAACCATTTCTTCTCTGGTATTATTTCTTTATTAAAGACTGAAATCACTGTGCCATAGCGGCACTACTTTTCTACTAATACTGCTTTTCTTTTTCAAAGAGTGCAGCTTAACCATTGTACTCTACTGCATTTCCGTACTTAGCAACAATATACAGTAAATTCAGCTTTATAATCCAAATTTATTCTTATTGCTTTGACAGCAAATTGTGCATTGTAATACTACAGTAATAGTGGGATTTTGTGCAAAACTAGCTTGAAAACCTAGACAACCAGAGACATTGTAAATATCGAAATGTTTCACAGCAAGCTAAGAAATTCAGAGGTTTTTGTGATGATCCTCACCACTGATTACTTGTCCAAACAGCTCTTCTGGAGTATCTCCAAAGAATGGCACACACCCAACAAGAAATTCATACAGGATAATTCCCATAGCCCACCAGTCCACTGGTTTTCCATAACCCTGTCTCAGAATCACTTCAGGAGCTATGTATTCAGGTGTACCACAGACCTAAAAGAAAGAAAATAAGCATGATGGTAGAACAAGTCTAATTGAGCTGCCGTGTAATTTATAATTCTTGAAACGTAAAATAATACGGAAGCATGGAAAAATGAAATTCAGTAGGTCAAACTCTGCTGAGTTTGCATAACAGCAAAACATTTTTAGAATGACCTAGCTACCTTTACAGGCATCATAACCAACATTTGTGTATCTGTCACGCAATGGACAGTTTGCTTTTCATACCTGGGAGTCCAACACAACAAATACTTTATTTAGCTTAAACATATCCTTATCTTTACATGAAAGTTCTGATGGCTTTATCTTAAGTAACTTTGAGTGAACAGATTGTGAGCAAAGGTAATGAGGCATGCTTAAAGGGAAATGGGCCATAGCAAGGATTTCTAGCACCCTTGGTTGTACAATGCATCCTGAGCTCCACAAGTACTCTGCTGAGACTTCTGAATTCCTTACAAAAACAGTTTTCCGTTTGTCTCTCTCACAGATTGACTTGCACACAATTAGGCTGTTCATCTTACTAACAGATCCTAGTTTAGAAAGAAAAAAGCCTAGAATAAACTGCAGGGTATCAGTAAAAGTAAATGACAGACAACTGGAACTCCAATGCAGAAATAACAAGAGTCTATATAGTATTATGGTACATTCTGTTGGCTAAACAATTAGAGCATTCAATGTAGAAATGAAAAAGGCTGTGCCTTACTTGTTTGTCAAGGAATTCTCTGGCATCCTTCTCAATGTGACCCTCATAGAGATTAGTAGTCAAACTCATTAGCCCGACCTTTGACAGACCAAAGTCTGTAAGCTTTATATGGCCCATGGACGTTACCAATAAACTGAAAATTAGAATGATATGAAGTTACTGTGATATAATTCAACGTTATGTGCTTACTATTATACTTGGAGGAAAATGTTTCATTAGCACTGCAAAAACAGAGAGACTAAAAAGTAATTTAATCAGGTACAAAATAAACAGGTTAAAAATCTGCATGTCTGTTATGGTTTAAGGGTTAACAGCCTGAAAGGGAAGGACAGGTGGTGTCTGTAGGACGCTGGGGGGTCTGAAACCAGTACTGTTTCCTCCCCTTTCCAGCCACAGTCTATAAAAAACCAAGGAGGCCTGAGGTTTCACGGGCTTTTCCTGGTTTCCTGGGCTGCTTCCTGTCGCATTTCAGAGTGGCTGGGGCTATGTCCATGTGCTCGGCAGCATCCACCACCACCCGTTCCCAGAACCACTGCGGTCCCTGGTGACGAGTCACAGCAGTCCCACCACCCCCAGCCACGAGGCACTGCTCAGACACTTCCACTCGGGACTACTGGGATCGGGTTTTGTATATATTTAAATATCCTTTGTCCTTATTAATTCCCTTTTCCATTCCCCTGTTGTTCTTCATTAAACTTGTTACAGTCTTAACTTCCAACATTGTGTGAAGCATCTTTTTCTCTATTCCCTTTTTTTTTAATCCTCCCCTTGGGAGGGTAGGGGACAATAGAGACAAAATCCTGCTCCCTGTGCCTTAAACGGAGACAGTCTCTTACAACTGTTACTATTATTATCAGATGTACACAAACTTTTTATATGCAACTGCAAAACATCTTATAGAACCATACAAGTATTGGGAGCTGAATGCTAGATGCTTTGAAGAAAAAGGAACAGTCATCATCTGAAAGACCTAGAATAGAATAAATGTTACTTTTTAAGTGAGGTGAGCATTTTCTGTCTGTAACATGCTGGGTCATTCCTTTGAAAAAAACTTCAGGTATAAAGTTAACTTACACTGGCCTGAGGTATCGTGCTATGAAGGTACTGTCACTCAACAGACATGACTACCATTTTATTTTTTTCTTCAAATGTGACACAGGAAGAAGCTGCAACAGCCATAGTTTTTAATACAGCTCCTTGCTGTAGTGTTATTTACATGTATAGGAGCAATATTGTTAAAAAAACCCCAAAGACATGCAACGGGAAAGATTCCCCAATCTGGTCAATCTTGTCTTCATAAATGCAAGTATCTGCAAGCTGATGATACTGTGTATTAAACAATATTTTAAGAATATTTTGAAAGATCTTTTCCTCAATGACCAAAATGCATTTCACTCCATTTCAGCCAGTAAAGTACATTTTAAAGAGTTCTTTCGGAAAAAATGCATTTTCCTATAACTGCAGATAATTAAAATTCAAATATTGTGCTGAAATTGTGAATCTACATAACATTCATAATTAAAAAAGAACCAAACAAAAACACTCAAAGCACATTTACACCTTTCATGTATTATCTAAAAATTTTGAAGTCCTTTTTTTTGGTTATATTCCATATACATACTTGTCTGGTTTTAAATCCCTGTGTACAATTCCATAATTATGAAGGTATTCCAAGGCCAGAACAGTCTCTGCAAAGTACATTCTTGCCATGTCTACAGGTAAGGGACCCATGTTCTTCATCAAAGTAGCACAGTCTCCACCTGTGGAAATAGTACAAATGCACTACATGATGCTATAAATTCTGAGTTGTATCAGTATAATCCACTTATACTGCAGAAAAAGACACAAACTGTAGGCATAAATGTTTATTTTCCAGTCACACAGTGTGAAGCTGGAAGCAAGCAGTACCAGGGTTCAGCTGGAAACCAATAAAGTCTCTGCTGCTACTTAAAAAGAAGAAAAAGCGCCCCCCCAAAAAGCTCACACAACTGTTGCCTGGGTATCTCATATTGTACAGTCTCTGTCCACTGCTCTCCTTCAGTGTCAGCACCCTTACAAACTGCTTCCTCTTTCCTCTTTAGTTGTAAAATTAACTATTACAAACACCCCAACATGTGGAAATGAAACATGAAAATCTGAACTCCAGAAAAGCAAACACCATTTCCACACGAACTCTGAGTGCTAGGACACTTACAATTACAGCCTACAAGGAACTTATGCAATGAGCAGTTATTTCCCATTATAGCTGGAGCACAAGTGTTTTACAAGCTCTAATTAGGAGATAATGACTGGGGAAAAAGCCACCTTATTGGATTTATATCCTAAATCTGTATTGCTGGAGTACAGAGGACACCCAGGGGGCCTTTTCTAACCAGAGAGAGGTTATTTTTCCTTCTCGGTGCAAGGAAACTCTCTTCTTCCTCTGTAAGACAAAACAAATGCATTACCTTCTACATATTCCATGACCATGCATAAATGACGTCTTGTTTCAAAGGAGCAGTACATGCTAACAACAAATGGATTTTCTGCAAATGTCAGGATATCACGCTCGACGAAGGCCTGCTGGATCTGGTTTCGGAGGATGAGATTCTGCTTATTAATTTTCTTCATGGCAAATCTTTGTCTGGTTTCTTTGTGTCTCACAAAATAAACCGCACTGAAGAAGTTCAAATTGGAGAAAAAAAGAATAAAGACTGAATAACTTAAAAATCTATTTTTAAATACTTTTTTTTTTACAAATAAATACATGCAGTTTTAAAAATTGTTTATGTATTAATATAAAAGACCTGTCTTTAATTTAATGTAGCTAACCTGCCTTTCACATTAGAGAATGGCTACAGACCTTATTTTGTTTCATAACAAGGACGGGTCTCAGTCAACACAAATTAGTACACAAACTAGTAACAAATAGCTCTCCCTCCCCATCCCAAAAACAAACAACAGATACAGCAAACATACCCCCAGCAGATACAGCAAATGTTCTCAGCTCAGATAGATTTTGGGCGTTGCCATTAACAAAGGATTATGTACAAAACCCAGCTATAAATCATTCTGACAAATGCTTATTCTGTAAGTGTGCTGTCAGATAATTATGACTCAGACTCCATCCTGGGGATTTTAAAACATGTCACAGGTTTCTCATGAAGGTTACTCAGAAGTTGCTTGATGAGGTGGATCTCTCATCACCAGGTGCAAAATCTTCTGTTCCTGGTCAGTTCCTGATATCAGCATTGATCCATACCATGAGTAGGTCACCAGTAGGTAATGCGAAACAAAGATCACTGCCCTACCTGTGTAGTAGTATGTGGGATTAAAATGCATCTTGACATGCAAAATTCCACTGGGGTACCAGGTACAGAGTTGCCTATAAGCTTGGTTAGATAAGCTCAAGGCAGTGAAGGAAGCAAAATGAAAGAAAAGTTCACGGGGACAAGCCTTCTTACTTTCAAGAAGGAATCATCATGCTGTGAAATACTGACACGGGATGTTACTGCTGCATTTCTCAAAATCCCTTGAGGCAAATCCTGAAAACATTTGCCTTGCCTGAAATCTACCTTTTAACATTTAATGCTTATAGCATTTCCAGTATATAATTACCACAGCAGTGAGTGTTTATAGGAAGAAAGGACAAAAAGGAGAAAATAGAAGGTGTAAAAAAATGAGATTCAATTATGCAGGTTTTTAAATTCAATTTGTTGTTCCCATGAGGTCCAATTATCATCATAAAATTATTTAAACATAGAAAGCAACTCTGGCCTTACTATTTCAATGAAGACCTTCCCACAGCTACCAAAGTTGCAGGCACTGAAAAAACCCCAGTGTGATTCTGCTTTCCTCTGTGGAGGAAAAATTCTGCTAGACAATAAAGTTCCTTCTGCTGATTCCAAAAGCTTTCATTAATCCATGTTCTTGTCTGAGCGCAGGCAGGTAAAAGACACTGCACCATCATGACAGTAGAGGAAAACCACCTCGGGCAAAACCAAGACAAACCCCACCCTTTGTGCCTCCTACTGAGTCTCAGTCCCTCCCGCCCCTCCCACGCTGGAATAAAGAGGAGTTACTCAGCTCCAGTACTCCTCCCTGCTGGCTCTCAGCCTCCCATGCTCCTGCACTTCTACCTACCGCTCCCCTCATACTCATTTCTCTCTCCAACCCCTCCTTACAACTCCTTTCTGCTGCTTTTCTTTCCCTGACATTCTGATTTTACTCTCCTTTGTTGCCATCTCCTGTCAGTCAGTCTTAGCTTCTAAATCTCCTGTAATTTCATCTTTCTTTTTCCCTGTTTCAGTCCCCTTGTGCACTCCTGGCATGTAGAAAAGTGAGGCCTTCGGGTGTCTGAAGCTGCAATCCTTCAAAAAAAATAAAGTTACATGAATGAACTGAGGATTGTCTGAGGAGCTGGCAATGCAGGTCCTTCTCAGAGCTTTAATTTGGACAGTGCTCCAAGATGAACTCTTGAAATACAGACCTCAACCAGAGTGTATTATTACAGCATCTTAACAAATGCCCTCTGCAGATCATGTGGATCTGTAGGGTCATTACTAACATATTTAAAGATGAAGAACCAGTATTCCTAAGGACTTTCCAGTTCCGTAAATATCTGGGACATGTCGGCTATGTTTCCCCAGCTCTCTAAATTGCATTCTCCAGTCTTGCAGGCAACAGGCAGGTACCTGTGTAACTTTCCATTAGGATTCAGTTATTTACAATTCCTCAGAAAGAAAAAATAGTTTATTTCAAGTGAACCAGATTCATAAGACAACTGCAACACAACTGTCTCTCTCATTTTTACGCATGCATACACTGGTTATTATATAGCATTTTTAAATCATCTGCAACATATAAAAACATGTAACTTCACTTATTCAAATCCTTTGATCACAGTAACCCCAGCAAACAGCATTTATGTTTTACAAAGAAAACTATGCCCTAGCCAGCAGCATATTATTCCTGCAGAAGACCACCTTCCTTCCTCCAGCACACTCCCAGGTCACAGCAGTGATGCTACTTCCCCAGCCTACCGGTACACTAAATTAAGCATACTGCAATGCTTGTGCCCAGGACTGCCTGGTACCACACCGGTACTGCCTGCTTGCAGTACGAAAGAGTATTAGAATTTTGTCAATCAAATGATAAATAGAAAATTAAATCTTCCCAAAAAGAAACAGTTAAACAAAGTAGTATAAATTGCCTGGACATAAAAGAAAAAAAAAATCTTCCATGTTTCTGCACGTAAGTCGGGCTTCAACTTAATCTGAATGGAAAGCTCAGAGTAAAGTTTACAATATGCTGAGACACTGAGACTGAACTTTGAAGTGAAATGATGGGAACAGCCACAATGACTTCTAAGCACGTAACTTCATCCTGGGTAATTTTGAACCCTGATTTGCTAACCTTGAGTAACCTTCTGTTATTGTATAACAGCTCACGGTGTAGACTGTGATGGCCTTCCAGTTTCCATTCGCTTTCCTTAAAGCTGTCATGTTGCCAAATTCTCCTAATATGGCATTGAACCTCCACCTTTTCCCTACCCTTCCACAAGGCCTGCTTTCCCACAGTGATATCTATTCTTTACTTTTCAGAAGGCTACAGCTGGAGCACTAGACAAGAGTTTACCTTTGATTTCTATGTGCTTTTAAGCAAGCACAATACCTCACTCCCAGTTTCTTGGCCTTGATCGTTAAATGCAGCTCATGATTTTCAGTATGCCATAAAGACAACTGTAAACTTGAAGATTCCTTTACCAGAAAAACAATGTATTAAGAACATCCAGACCATTCAATTGCTCTGCCGATTCATTCAATGACAGTGGTACGCGCTCTCTGCCTGCAAAGCCAGAGTGGTGTTACTGCAACCTCCCACGGTTTCAAATGAAGCATTTGTTTCCTATCTCCCCCCTACTGTTTTCATAAAATGGTGACAAGAAACTTCCAAAACATTGCACATGTGTTAAAATAAAAAAAAAGAAGCGGAAGCATTTAACTGTGTTCCTGAATTGTTTAAACTTAAATCTTATGCAATCTATCACTTAAATCTTACAATCAAGATTTCTATTTTTTCTCTAAATTACTTACAGGCTTCAGGCCTGCTTCACAGCTCTTCAGTAACTTCAAGATTTAGAGTCATTTTACAACCTTGTCTACAGTCAGTGCCTGAGGCTAATGTAGCTGTGTCACTTGCTTTGACCCGATTCAGTAATTTGTCAAAGGACCTTGAATTCCTTGTGGAAACACAGGTACTGTATTTGCCATTTAAAAGTTACAGTTGCTGACCAGGAACTATGCTTCATTTTCACAAGCAATTTTCTGAGAAGAGCCTGCTAAATTCTGTAGTACCCTGGAATTATGTCTGATGTTGTCTCCAGTGAAGGAGAGCCACTTGTGAGGCTGTGATTCATGTTATGGCAACATGGTAAAGTTTACAGGTATTCAAGATCAGAATTTACAAGCAGCACTGCACCACCTCCTAGCTAGGTGAAGCCCATGACCAGATCAGATTTATTTGGGGGCAGAGGGAAATGCTGTGTAAAGCACTGCACCACTCCTAACATGAGCCACCAATACAGTGTGGGTCATCCAAGCACCCTGAAAAGGTATATAGCCTTCTCTCAGTGATGTTTCGACTTACCCTAGTCTGCCTAGGAACAAAAGAGAAGCTTCCCATAATCCTTCACTCACAACTGGTACTAGCACTAGTTCCAACCTGTCACATATTTTGACTCATAAAACCACCTCTCCATACCTAACAGTAGCAACTTCTGTCTTCATGGTAGCGAATAAACACAGCTGCAAAAATGGCAAAACCACTGTCCAGAAATCCTATGTGTAAACTCAGTAAGAACTGTTCTGTATTTGCAAGAGATGCACTTGAGAAACTGAGCTTCTCACCAGTTTGTAGCACGCTGCACATTCAGGAAGGACAGAATTAAGATGTTCAACACAGCAACAACCTTTCTTTACCACCAAAAAAAGTGCATTAGCTGCCAGTATTAGATCCTCACACACATGGTAACTACAGAAGAAAGATAAGGCATTTGGCGTGTGCTGTACTGGGAAAGGAGGCTCACTCGAGTGCAATAAAGTAAACGAGTTCAAAGTTCACCGTTTTGAGTAAGTCCACAATGAATTATGAATGTAAGATCCCTAGCACAGAAACTGCCAACCTTTATGTTCTGAATGACTCTTTAAAGCTATGGGCCTATAGGAATCAAAGCCTCTTACTCTGCATAGACCAGTCACTCACAGGGGTAAACAGAAGTGGAAAAGAAATACAGCTTATTAGACTGGCAGTCTGTTCAGAGGTGGTGTTACTTCAGTGAAACTACAAAGCCAACTCCCCCCATTCCCTTCCCCTTCTGAACTGGCAGCTGCTAGGCTGATGATGAATTAACCTGACTGACAGGGTGTTATTCTGCAGCTGGGTAACTTTCTTAGTCCCATTCCCAATGCAACTACACATAAACAAGTACTGTCAACTGGGTGGAAAAGGAACAGGAATGAGTACTCACAGGTTAGAGGCAGCAGCTGCTCAAGCCAACACTGTCTCAGAGTTATTAAATTTATCAAGCAACATGTCCCAGTTTGAGCTAAATAGAACTAATTCTCTTATTTAATGATTTTACTCTTCAGTTAAGTCTCTAAGTGACTGTACTTCCTGAAACTAATGGCATGTTTTTCCAGACAGTATCTGCTTCTACAACTGGTAATGCTTGATGTTTATAGTTACTATTGGTTATGGCATGTAAATATAGCTCTTGCTTATACTTGTGCCTATGGAGACCAAGGCCACTGTCACATCATGGGTGCTGTATTGGGGTGTTGTAACTGAAGGTGTAACACTTGCAGGGAGGAACAGACAGGACAGATGACCAAAAACCGACCAACAAGGTATTCTATCTGATATACATCATACTCGGTATAAAGCTGAGGGATCACAAGGGTCAAGCCTCTTCTGCCATGGCTGATGTCTGTGCGGAACCCTGCTAGTTTGTATGCCTCTGATCCCAATCCTGCTCTGCAGAGCCTCTGGTGATGTAACTGTCATTAGGTGGAGGACTTGATAATGGTTTTGTATATATTTATAAATAATTTCATTATTTTCCTATTTACATTATTATCCTGTAGTAGTAGTATTGTTAAACAGATATACACAGAATGTTATGAGTTGGAAGGGACCTCGAAAGATCATCCAGTCCAATTCCCCTGCCAGAGCAGAATCACCTAGACTAGGTCACACAGGAACACGTCCATGCTGGTATTGAATATCTCCAGAGAAGGAGACTCCACAACCTCTCTGGGCAGCCTGGTCCAGTGCTCTGTCATCCTTACAGGGAAAAAATTTTTTCTTATGTTCAGGTTGAACCTCCTACGCTCCAGCTTGCTCCCATTGCACCCTGTCCTGTCATCTGACATCACTGAAAAGAGCCTGGCTCCTTCCTCCTGACACTCGCCCCTTACATACTTATAAACATTAATGAGGTCACCCCTCACTCTCCTCTTCTCCAAGCTAAAGAGACAACACCATTAGCCAGTCTGTCATTTATGTATTATTACTGTCTTTGTTAGGCAGACACAAAAGTGGTATCAAGTGTTTGCTTTAAGCTGATATAGTTATCCATTAGTGAAGAGCAACTGAACTAACATCACTCACATCCCACAAATCAAATGTAATTTTGTTTTGTTGAGCTCATTTAGGAAACTGCTGATGCCAATATGAAGAGATTACCTGCTACCTCTTGGAAAATGCGGTACGAAAAAAACATTGCTGTTTTTGCAGTGAGTGTTTAAAGTTTGGGAAGTCAGAGAGACAGCCTGTGAAACCATTAATGGCTTGGCCAGCATCCTACATGTTTACTGATTCACAGCTTGTTTAACTTCTTGTATATTCCCAACCATTCCCAAAAGCCTGATATACCTCATCTACTATACACTCATTTAATTGCTCTACAGATGAGTTTACCCAACCAATTAAAAGCAGAGAACCGCTAAGATATTTACTCAAACCTTCACAAACCCAACAGTTCATATTTAAACCCATCACATTTAACATATCTGACAACTCTCTGCTACAGCATGCCAAGACCAGCAATTACCCTGTCAAGCAGTCAAAGCTTTCCATTTCACTAATGAAGGCAAAAACCCCACAGAAAAGCAAAGACAGCAGAAAGTTGGGGTTTTTTTAAGATTGGTTCAGAACTAAACCCTCCATTATATCATCAAAATAAATAAAATATTCCAGTAACATACTAAATCTTTAGTAAGTTAGAGCACAAAATACGCCCACTGATGAATTTGTGAGATTAAATCAATGAAGCACCAGCGGAACTCACACATATTTATGTTATTTCAAAAAATTAACGGCCTGGAAAAATATGGAAGGAGGGGGGGAAATCCTTGTAGTATAATAACAATACCTTATTTTGTCTGTTTATACTTGTAATAAGCTGCAATAAATGCCTGTAGGGCAGTTTATTGCTTTGTATTAACAGATGGCACAGGTATTATTGCTTAATTATGCTCCATTTTGATAGGTTAAAGAGCATTTAAGCAACTGTAATGTGTTCCCCTTTAAACTTGACCGTAACTTTCAAGTAAATCTGACATACAACAGCGGAAACCTTCAAGCACATAAATAATTTTGAAGAAGGATATCCTAGAGAAATTAGGAGAGCAAGCCTACCCAGTTTACAGCAGCTGGGGGTAGGTGACTAGGTGCTACAATCACTTTTGAAAATTAGCAAATACTTTTGAAAGTTTATTTTCACACAGTTCACCAAGTGTGCTCCTTTCCCTCTCTGTTAATTATTAAGGGGCTGTACCTTAGTTTTCTTTCTTGTTCTTGATTTTTTTCTTCTAAGAAGTAACCTAAAGTCTACTTTTTTATTGTTTGCTTGAGCATGGAAGCAGTAACACTCCACTAAACTGATGATTTTTAGTTTCTCATACTACCACAGTATAACCCATCAACCTTACAACTGTTTTAACAGCTGATAAAGATAATAATGATCCATGCAGAAATACCCCACACTCTATTAGCTCTCCTTTTCCTTACAAATTTATCAAGGTCTCACTCAAATCTTACAACATTTATATTGCCAATTTCACATACTACTGGCGTTAAAAAGGTGTTTTGGAAGTATTGATTTTCACTGCCAGAAACATGAGAAAGAAAAAATTCCACATGTCTACACATCTTTTGTGCCATGACTCTTCATCCTTTCTTTTCAACCTTTCCAGATCCTTCTCTTGTTTCAAATGGACAAGTTGTCTCCAGCCTTCATTTCTGAATGGCTTTTCAAGGTTCCTTGACTGTAACCCCTACAGAGCAAGGGCCACAGGCCGACCCAGCCTCTGACTTGCCTCACGCTGCTCTTCACAGAACGCTCTTCTGTGGCCGCTCCCTCTCCTTCCCATCTCTCAGCATCCTAAAACTGGGCAGATCCACTGACTCAGACGTTCTTTTCTCCTATGGGGGCCCACCCCACATGGTTGTTCTTTTATCTCCAGTAAGACAAAGAGGAAATTGGGTAGGAGATGAAAGGAGGAAGGGAGGGGACTAAGCACCTGCCAAAGGAAAAAGAAAGGGGCGCAGTCAGGGAGGGGAGCAGCAGCTACTGCTACTGGTGGAAGAAAGGCTTTTGAAGTCCTGGGGTAATTGGGAGAAACTGGCATAATGTAATGAGTTTGCCTAGGGAGAAATTCTGAGAAAATCAATTGCAAAGAGGTTGAATAGTGAGAAGTTGTATTTGGATATTTACATAAATTTAATGCATGTTATGCTATTTCCTTCAGGCGTTTTGCCAAACTACATAAGCAGGTCTGGGCACTAGTAATAGCCTCCACACAAGCTATCATGACCAAAAGTAATAGGCAGTACTAAATGCCTCCTGTCCCAGAGCTCAGGATTACCTTTAACTAAGCACGATCAGAGAGCGCATTACTGTGCCCATCAGCCTCAGGCCACTAAAATGGCATGCAAAACTCCAGTGGGCAGATTGCAGGTGCTTTCTCTTCTATGACCAAGGTCTCTTCAAAGAGTGCTCAGCCCTATCAGGTCGCTGCTGCTGCTTACCTCAAGCAGAGGTCATGCAGAGTAAAGCCCATCTGATGAGGTCTGTTCTGGAGACCACCACAGTCCTCTCCACTGCCAGGCTGTGACACAGACTCATCAACATAGAAACTCCTTTTTTTTTTTTAAACAATACACCCTTCCTAGTCATGCAGGTTAGACAGATCAATAGTTCCTATCTTTTCAGTGCAGAGAAGGAGCCAAACAAGGGTCTAGGAGACAGTATCTGATCAGAAAAGAGGACTGAAGACAGACTTCTGCTGCTGATAGACATGATCCCTGCACCCTGTCTTCCTCCCAGAAAACACTGAGGTCATTTCAGGCCAAGGCTAACATAATTTTCTCTTGGTCTTCTAGGATATCTCCAGATGACTCACATACCACTGGGCAGTGAGTTGCGCACTTTCCAAGTACCCATAAACTAACCAAGTAAGAGCAAGTCCTTAAAAGCTAACTAGTTAAAATTTGAGGATAGAAGTGTTCAGAGAGTAGCAACAGAATAGTGCTGCCCTACTTGAGGAAATTTGTTTTTATTTCACCAGTATTTTTTGGTCAAGTAAGCACTGATTTTTAACAATCTGCCTCTATACAGATTTCATTCTGTTTCCCATCTGCATAAATAAAGGCTATTTGTAGTATTATAAAGGTGGCTTTAAATCTGCTTTTTGATTTATTAAGACTTCCATCTTTGGTACTGGCATGATAATCACTTCTGAAAAATCTTTGTCATGTAGTATTCAGTGTTTTAATTTACTGCAGCACACAGCAAATTCATTATTGCCTAGCAGGCTTTCCAAGAAGTTTTTCTTGTGAGCTCCAAGTATTAGCAACAAAACAGTAAAGGACAATGAAGAAACCAGCAGTGTAAACAAATTCATGTAAACACACAAACATCCCTGCAATAAGAAATAATGGGAAGCTATGCAAAAACAAAATGCAAGAGAGTTGTTGCACTTATGGACTACTCACCCATAAGCTCCATTACTAATCAGTTTAATTGTTTCAAAATCACTTTCCTGAGGTTTCCTCCGCAGCTTCAGTGAGGTATTAGAGCTCTTCAAAGTAAAACAGGAGAAAGAACAAAGTTAATGCAGTAGTAAAATCAGGGAAAAATAAAAACAAAACAAAACAAAACAAACCCCAACCACCACCAGGCTGTCACACTCTGATGAACCAGCTAAAAGCTCTGACCAGTTAGCCACACAGCTAGCACAGAAGAGGGATCAAAAGGGAATTCCTATCTGGAGTTACACACTTTGTGAACACACTTCCCACCAAGCACTCCTTGGCCACTGCCTTCCCATAACTCTGACTCTGGTAATAGAGCCTGGTAGTAACAAAATGTAGATGAGGTCTCCTCCATTCAAACAAACTTTTGTACATTTCAAACTAATGTTAGGATATATTGTGTTATAACTTAGGATACTCTGTGAAAAGACACAAAATGAAAGAAAAATAAAGACAAAAATGCGGTAACATTACAGAGGTCACTTTCACCTACTTGTATGTCAGAACATTTTCAAAATGGAGTTGACCCCAGTAACACATGACACTTTCCTAGCTTTAATTAATCTTGAAGATGTAAGTGTGACTTAAGAGTTGGAGTGCCAAGGGAAGGGGGAGGGAGGATGGGGATGATGATGAGGGCACAAGACTTTGAAATTCAATATTCCAAACCCACAAGATCCTTTTCAAGATGTTTTCCAAATCCCCAAGAAGTTCTTCAATCCCTATCCAGGAAATTTGGCAATAGTTAAGGTTGAAAGCTGGAACATTTTCAATTAAGTGCTTGCTAACGAAAATTCAGTGCAAGATTAGTGAGTATGTTAATATAATGAACTACATAGGAGCAGAGAGAGACTATTTATTAAACTGTTTAGCCCACTTGCCTGCCAGTACAGAATTCTTCCTAATTGCATATTTATGATGATTTTGAATGGTCCTGTACTTTTAAGTTATGCTTCCTGTCACTTTCCATATGTGTTTATTCCTCAACTAGGCTTTGAGAAAATGTTTCCAAATATTCACCCTATATTTAGCTTTATAGACTTCATTTAATCACCTCTCCACATTACACTCCTTTATTACACTGTGTAATAACCCTTCCTTTACTTTTTCAACATTTGCACAACAGAAGTAACTTCACAATTGCAATTCCTTAGCTATTGCTAAGCCAGTTTGCACCTTAGATTCTTCTACACTTCAGAACTTCCTTTAAGCCTTCCTGTTATTCCTTCTGTCTTCTCTCCAGTTTGTCTTGTATTCTTCCACTAAACACTGCTCAGGTCTGATACAGTATTTGGAATGCAGATGAACACAGCACAATAAGAAACAACCCTCATGTCACAGCACTGATGCCTTCATAGGTGACATTTGGCCAGAAAATCAGAAATTATCTCCAGATAATGAGACATGCATCAGAGGATGATGTCTTTTCTGCAGTGTATCAGAAGTAGTTTTAACATATACGTCATGCTTGTATTTTAAACTCTAATGTAAATACCTGTAAAGTACCGCTGAATTACCTACGCATCCCTCAAAATTGTCATTGCTTTTTTGCTATCCACTTGCACTGAATATCAACACTAAATGATCAGAAACCCATTTACCCTGTTGACTGAAACCCAAGGCGTAAGAACCAACCTATAAAAGGAGGAATTTAAATTGAGAGCATTTAAGCTCACAATATTCAGCCCAACCAACTCCTCCAACTAATTTTTTCTTCCACTAACCTGACCAAGTATCTGATAAAATATTACTGTATGATACCCACTACTGCAGCATCTAGGAAAAAAAAACTAGGTAGAAAGTTTTGTTCTAGTATTTTTGCGAGCCTTCTGTCTGCTGAGCACCATGGTGTTAGTCTGAGGATTAACCACTGTTCTATTCGAACTGTTTATACATAGCAGGAGAAAATACAATGGGGGGAACACATGTATTTTTCCTTGCTCATATTCAGCAAGAGCAGCAACATAACAAATGTAAGAAAACTTACATTTATTGATTCATCCATTTCCAGAGTTTCTGCTGTCCCACTGTCACAATTAGCTAGCTGTGCTATTTCTGAAAACAAAGATTAGAAAAGATTTTAAAAAACAGCAAATACAAGGCTAAATTAAAGTACAGCAAACCTGAGAAGTGACACTTTTCTGCAATACTTAATGAATATGCTGTCCTATCTGTAATACTTGCCAAGTAACTTGGATGGTCTCCAAGCATATGTAAAAAGATCACACCTGGAAAATGAAGACCTGCTATTCAATCCCTATGTAATTTTCCACTGAAGAGTTCAAACATCCATGAAGCAACGAAGAATGATCCTGTTATCACTGCTGAGATGTGAGAATTCAGAGATTCGTGTGTCATCTGATCATTAAGGGAAAGACGGCACTAATCTGCTAAAACTCCTGAGGATCTTAGCCCCAGAGGGGTAAATTGTAGGCCCCATGTTTCTTGGGCTCCTTCACAGTTTGAGCAAAGAGCTTCTAGTTCAGACAGAGACAGACTCCAAATGGTTTGTACCTTCTACACAGAAATGCCGATAAACCTAACAGAATAAGATAAAGGCCATTTTCTTCCTAGAAGCTAACCCTTCATGGAGTCACTGATGCAGACAACTTATCTGGGAAACCAAGATTTTGGGGGTCTACAACTTGTCCTGGCTGCTGCTGCCAGAATCAGCCTATGCTGCAGAGCTCCTAAGCCTATCCTGTTCTTCAAGGGCCCAGTAACTAAGAATTCATGTGAGTAATAAAAGCTAGAACAGGACAGTTGGTAGCTGAAAGACCCTGGAAAGCTTAGCATTACTTTAATCATGTATATAGTTAATTATATAGTTCACATAGCTAAAGATGCAATTTTATCATACTTATGTGCTGAGGATCAGGGATAAGACCACTTGAAATTTGTGAGCAGCATTTTTATCTCAGGACCGTTAACTGAATTTACGAGTATGAAAAATAACTGAATACTGAAACAGTATCTAAACTAGATTTTTCTATATAATAACTATTACAAGGGAAATTCTGCACAACACTTGCCATAATAATTAAGAGCAAATTAACCACACAGATAATTTTCTATTGAAACAGCTGAAGATTTAAGGAGTAACTCTCTTTTGTTATCAGTATCCAAAATAAAATGTTTGTAAGTGTATGAATAAGAAGTAATAAAAGTTTCACTTAAAAAAACAAGCAGATCTGTAAAGTGTTAAGGAAGTGAAAAACAATCCAAATATTCCACATACAAAGTCAATGAACAGTAGAAGTATCTCCACTGAGAACAAATTTTTTTTTTAAAGTGTCTAAGCTAAAATTATATAGGCCTAACTCAAAAATGGGAGTGGACTGCCCTGGAAAAAGTCAGTTTGTCAAAGTAGGCTTTTTATAATAGAAGTGTTGATGAAACCTTTATTGTACAGGTGAGAACAAAGCAAGCTAGAATAATATACTTTGATAGCCTTCTCAACTGAAATTATTTCCATAAATAGCAAATTAAAATGAGCCATTTTTAAACAGAACTCTTGCAAAATAACTATTATCTGAGAAATATACATTATTTGCAAGCAGTAGGTAGTAATGGAACGGAACCAAGAGTCAGCTTTCAAAACAGGGACCTATGGAACCAGTTTGCAATGCCTGAAGAGATTTTTAAAACTCATCTAAATACCATTAAACATCTGCCCTTTTTTCTTCATTAATTTAAACCATTTCTGAAGAGTCATGATTCAAAAAGGTAAAGATGGTAATTAAAAAACCATGGGGAAAAAATTCTCCCTGGAGAACTCTTCAGAAATGCAGCCACCAGTCTCTGATAAGTGACGAATCTGTTGTGGTATTGCGTTCAGTACAGTATAAATTTATCTGGCATTATCTCCATGTAATGCATGCCTCATTTCACTCAAAGAAAGGACAGTACAGCTATGGCAGCAAACAAAGGAGGTAAGCAGAGAAGGGTCTAAAGAAGCAAGTTGCTTTTTTTTGCAGAGGAAGTAAAATCCTTTGCATGAACATTTATGAGCAGACATAGTTTAACAACTTAGTTGAAAATGCAATTCTGTGTTTTAGGGTAAATGGTGCTACTGAGGTGGGTTTTGTTTGTTTTTGAAAGATTTGGCCGTCTGCTATTTAAACAATTTAAAGTATCTTCTCTTTTTGCATACAAGGAATTTAAAGCACTCTCAGAAGGATGACCTACATGCAGTATTTTTTAATAGCAACGAATACAGAGTTTCCAAATAATCGTCTTCATAAACGATTAATTCTAGGGCATAAACCCATAGTGCCATTCTTTTTATTTTTGCTTAGGAAATGTCCTTGTATATAGGGGCACCAATTTAAAACCAAAACCAGATCATTTAAGAAGTCATTGCACAGTGATTTATTCTGCTTATAACTTTTTTTGCAGGGAAGCATTAATATGAATTGGATGGCCTGAATTATTTGATCACAAATATACATATATGCTGATACACAAAGTAACTCAATCACTCCAACTGAATCAAAGATCAGTAATCCATACACCATACACCCCCTCAGTATTTACTGACAGACCATATTGCCCTTCCCTTCCCCCCCCCCCAAAAAAAAACAACCACATTTCAACTATCCTGGAGTGCTCCAGAGCTTACTTTATAATCAGTAATATTCAATTTATGAAATGTAATTATAAGATGTGTTCTACATGAAGTACACTCACGTAAGTATTTAATCTCAGAAAACAGTATCCCTTATTTGTATTTAGCATTTGTTTCTAAATCTCTCACACAATCAACTGTTTAAAAAAATAATAAAATATATTATTAAACTTAGGTAACGTCAGATTCTCATCCTAAGGAACACTTTTATTCAAGTGGCCAGAAAGAGTCAATCAGTATGACAAGGTGCAAGTGGCAAAACCAAGGTCAGTAATACTAAATCCTCAACCCACACTCCAAATTTTACCCTTGATTACTGAAGAATTTCTGAATTGTCAGTCTAAGCCAGACCAACAGCTCTCCAAATCCAGCAGACACCTCTTTATCTTGCAGAGAATTAACGTATTTCTTGAACTTTTCCAGTATTCACATGGGAAACAATAGTTATGTACATTTCCCAATTTGTCTGGCATCCTTTCTGCACCCTGATTCCAAGCAAAAAGCACCACAGCTGCTTTAATCTATTTCTCAGATAAAAATACTAAAATTGGGTGAGGAAGTCCTTTAGTGAAGACAGGAAGCAGAATACTAATAGGCTTGACTTTCTTTGAATCTATTAATGTAACATGAGTATCATCTATAACAATATCCAACCTAATTGAATTGAATCTTACCAAATTCCTGACAACATCCAGCCATGCTGAACTTCACAAGCTGGTGAAGATGAACAAAAAAGTTTTCCTTTAACACTCTTACAATATACTTTTGAATTAAGGAAATGTGATACTGCATCATGAGAACTGGTTAAAAAAGTTTATCATAGTTTTTTGCTATTATTTTGTGTTACCGAGTCCTCTCCTAGAGATCCCCCTTGTCTTGGGTCAAAGGAAGACAAGCTAAAAGGCCCTAGCTAGACTCATTTTCCATGACGGCACTTCTACCGATTTATTCCAAATTGCCCAACTTGCACTGAACGCAATGAAACAATTTGCATTTGTCTCAGAGAAGATGATCTGGTTGGGAAAAATAAAATTACTTCTTTTTCCTAACACTGTCCTTAAAAAGAAGAATCAGGAGAACAAAAGTTCTGCAATGGTAATAGCTCCACGAAAACCCAAGTTCTGCTTACAAAAGTCCTCAGCATGGACACAAATTACTCAGGAAAATAAATCTTTGCAGTTCTTATAGGAATGTGAAATACTATTCTGAGGGACTCTAAGATGGGGGAACCTGAGGGGACCGAGAAGCAAGTAACAGCTCAGCCCAGTTTCACTTATACCTATGGTTGGATAATAGTCACCATCAAATTACATCGGTAAATTTCAGCTAGAGCTAAAATAAGGTCTCATTGCCAGGTTGGAACAAGTATCATTGATACAGTGTATTTGTGAATGACATTCACAACAGAAAAATCTAAAGACGGCTTTTTTAATGCCTTTGAGTTTGAGAACTGTGACGGTTAGCAAACGCTTGCTCTGCTACTTTGACCCTTTTCAGGTTCACACAGATTATCAGAATGATTAAACACACTGAGAAGGAAGAATCTGGGAGCCTATAGCTGGACCAGGAGATGCACTTACCTTCCAGAGGATCTTTATTTAAGCCCAGCTGGCTAATAATGTATCGAGGGATGTCTGTTTTAATGCCTTGCCCCTCTTTAGCATGCCCTTCAGCTGCTTCCAAAAGATAGTAAAACTCTTCAGGATCAAATTCCTGGAAGCAAAATAATGACCATCATTCTCTCTGTAGAAACTGAAGTCTTAAAACTTAACATACAAAAACTCCTTTGCTGCTTCTATCAAAAAAAATTGACGTTTGCCTCATTAAAAACAATACCTTTATGTTCTATTACTAGTAGTCCATTACTGTATTATGATTCTTATCTAATGTAATGTGTTGTAAGCAAAGACATTTCATACAATTATTTTAGAGCATTGTTTTGTAATAGTAAAGTTCTTTGTCCTCAGAACTTCCCATAATATTCACAATGAAATAACCCATAACCAGAAGCGATAAGATTTCACACAAAAAAGACTTCATCCCCCTGCAGCCACTTGCATATAAAAGTCCACTACTGAAATAAAGAAACTATGTAAATGTATTGCCCTCTGCTTTACTTCTAAATGAAATTTTAAACTATATTTAATCATATATATGCACTGTTTTATGGAAAATACAATTAAATAAATCATTAACTTCAGAATGAAGCCAAAATCATAAGTTGAAGAAACAACATTTGAACTTCACTGATCCAGTTGTTCCAAAACTATAGAAATGTAACATTCTCCTCTGGGAATCAACCATATTACAATTGTCATTTATACCATGCCTAAAAGGCAAGCCTCAAAAAGGAACAAAAAAGATTTGAAACTCAAAACCCTGCCTATCCCTCAAGTCCCTTGGAAATATGTTTATTTTACTGCCTTGATAGATGATAAAATAGGAACATTGAAAGGAGCATTGAAAGGAACACTGAAGGCTTTATGGTGTCTTGTTCTGTTTTTGTTGTGGTTTGTTTTTTTAAAATAGATTTTCTCTATGAATTCATACCAAAACATCTCCCACATTGCTATTGCACTCTTCAAGATGTTTGGCCCAACCATAGATCACAACAGATAAAATGCTTAAGAGTGAGAGCGAGTCAAATTCATGAAACACTGATATAACTAAATGGACTTTTTGCTGTAGGACGTCAGTACTGTCAAAAATACCTGCAGAAGCCAGGCAGCCTGCAGAGCTATTGAGCTTCTCTGCTGGTAATTTCATTGCCTGCTGCCACTCCACGGGGCTTTCACCTGCATGCTGGGTCACAAAGCTCCTGTCTCAGCTCTTCAGGCTACCTATGACTTGGGAACAAAACGTCCCAACCTTGGAAGACAGCTTGAAAAGTCAGGTATCGTGTTTCATTTTGGAAGCACCCAAACTGCTGCAGCTACCAGGAGGAGCCATGGTGCATCTGAAATGAAGTGTCTCTGGAATTTTCAGTGTTGCAAAAGCAATCTTAGTTTTTCATTTGTCGTGAAACAATTTTCATCATCCTCAGCCTACTCCAAAGGACTTACCACAAACCCATGAACCG